CCTTCTTTTGATTTTTAGTACTGTTTTCATAATAGTATAGAGTTCATGACAGTTCAGAGGAAGGGACAGTAATAATTCAATTATTATTGTAATGTTCAAGGTCAGACATTTAAGGTAGAGGTCTTGACTTATTCATTGAGATTATGTTAAATTGAGAAATTTAAGTGATACCATAATACTGCTTGCTTCAGTTAACTTTTTCATTGCTGTGTCCAAAAGATTTGATAAGAACAATATAGAGGGGGAAAATTTATTTTGACTCCCAGTTTCAGAGGTTCAATCAGTGATCAGTGGATTCCATAGATTTGGGCCCCAAGTGAAGCAGAACATTGTGACAGAAGGGTATGGTGGAGAAAAGTAGTTCAGGATATGTAACCAAGAAGGGGAGAGAGAGAGAGCTCTGCTCTCCAAGGAGAAAATATAAATCCCAAAGGCACACCCACAGTGACCTATCTCCTCCAGTTACATCCTACTTACCTACAGTTAGCACCCAGTTAACCCATATCAGTGGATTAATCCTCTGATTAGGTTACAACTCTCAATCTAATAATTTAATCTCTGAAAATTCTTGCATAGTCTCACACATGACCTTTTTGGGAACACCTCATATTCAAACTTTAACAATGCCTATGCTTGTTCTTCCAGCTCTGTGATCTGTTTTAAAGTCAGCTTTATGGCAAGAAAGGCTTCTGGCTATAAATACTTATTAGGCTGAATTATGTTCATTTTTAATTTTCAATGGATTGAGGTTTTATCATTTTCAATATATAGTATTTATATAATATCAAACATATTCAACATTAGCAAAATCATCTTTAAAAAGATATTTTCAAAATGGTCCAAGCCAGTTGCTTTCAAAAGTGTGGGTTCCTGACCATTAGCATCATCATCACCTAAAAACTTGTTTGCAATATAAATTCCTGGATCCCTTCCCAACCTGGAAAAAAAATCAGTCAGTCAGAGGGGTGCAGCCCAGTAGCTTGTGATTCAGTAATTCCCCAAGGTGCTTAAATGCTAAAGCTTAATACAGCTGACCTAATAAAAGCTAGAGGAGTTTTGAAATAAAATGTTCTCAGACTTGTTTCTCTCAGTTTAAATTTAGCTTTGGATTACAACTGACCATTCTTTTGAACATCTGCTGTCTATATTTTCGAGCAAGCTGGAGCACAAAGCAATTTATTGTCTCTTTGATTGTAGAATTATCTGTATCTAGTAACCTTATCCAGAAATTCTCATTTAGTAAATGTGGGATAAAACCTAGTACTACGCTATGAATATGTTTTATCTCCCTCAATTCATCCTTTGAGATCCTAATGCCCAAGATGATGGTATTAGGAGGTGAGTCCTTGCAAGTCTAGCAGATCATGAGGGCAGAGCGTCTGTAATTGGGATTTGTGCTCTTATAATTGAGATCCCATTTAATTACCTTGCCATTGAGGGCACAGAAGAGGACACTGTCTATAAGAGATAGGACCTTAATCAGACTCTAAATCTACCTGCTCCTTTTTCTTAATCTTTTCAGCCTCCAGAATTGTGAGAAATAAATTTCTATGGTCTGTAAGTAACCTAGTTTATGGCATGTTGTTTAGCAGTATGAACAGACTAATACGTCTGGTCATCTGCATGTTTAACAGATACTCCCAGAAGAGAAAAACTGCCATAGAGAGAACTCACATTGAATGCACACAGTCTCAAATGTCTAAGAGATGTACCTGACAGAACTTTTCTGAAATAAGAATATGGAAAGAAGGTCAATTTGGAGGCTTACTGCAAAGTAAATGCAAAATCTTTCTTTAGTGGCTGTTTTTATCCCTGAGGACTGAACTCATTAACAATCACACAGCACACAGTGTTTGCTTTAGGATTTATCATCATCTACAGCTATACAAATAGCTTTCGTTGATCACTTCTTTTCTTAAAAGTACCATGGAAATCTCATTAAGAGGGATTAATCCTGGATTCAGTTTGGTGTTCTTACTTTAATAAGCTTGTGGGAAACCCAACAAAAACACAGGTGCAGAGAACAAACATAATTAAGGGGTTAAAAACAGAAGTGTTGAAGGAATAAGTGATCATGCTAATTTGAAATAACTCAATACACTTCATATTTGATTTTGCTATGGATAAATGACCCTGTAGTGAGGTATGAAGTACCATGGAGAAAGGAAGGAGCACAGAACTAAGTACCAGAAGGCCTGAATTTTAGTGCCAACTCTGCTAACTTGCTTATGTGACCTTGACCTTCCACCCTCCACCCCTCAATCTGAGACTCTCCACTCCTTCATAAGGATAGTAATATTATCTAAGATAGAGGTAGTTATAAGCCAGAATGAGGTGATAAATATAGTATTCCTTTGAAACACAAAAGCAATAATGAATTAAAAAATATATCTTAATATTTAGAATTAATAATGGGTCTATTAATCCAGGTTGAAGATCTACTGTTTATAGCTTGGGAAGTACAAAATAAATGACTTAATAGATTTCAAGTAAAATTTTAAAAAAAATTTAAATTTTTTGGTAGCAAGGATTGGACCCAAGGGTGTTTAATCACGAAGTCACATCCCCAGTCCTTTTTATTTTTTATTTTGAGAAAGGAGTGTGGTGCGCCACCAGTGAAGCTACTTGAGTGGTCTTTTACTTGGTCTTGCGCCATGGGGGGACTTGGGCATTCCTGTGTGGAGACTGCCCAAGGCGTGAGATCTCTGTCCTTGATCTACCTATGGGACAGCTCTCATAGCTCCGGAATTGGGCGTAACCCATTGGGTTTGGACAGCCCACCTCCTGCCTTATTTGTCCAGGAACATCTGTAGAAAACCTTTGAGGTTCCCTTGTATAATAAACCAAATGCGGCTCGCTCACTAGCGCTTGCTCTCTCTCTTCCCAGTGTGGAAGCTCGGCCACTAAGGTTCTAGAGCCATCCTGTCCTCGATTTTCAAAATTACTTCCATGTTGTGTGATTTCTTTGCCATTTCTTTTTCTTAGCTTAATTTCACAGCCAGTTCACTCCACTCAGAGGAACTCTAACTTAACACCCCACGCAGGACGTGGATGAGACAAGAGTAAATTTATTTTTAAAAAAATTTTTTTAGTTGTCAATGGACCTTTATTTTACTTACTTATATGTGGTGCTGAGAATCGAATCCAGTGCTTCACACATGCTAGGCAAGCACTCTACCACTGAGCACTAGCCCCAGCCCCAGGAGTAAATTTTTTAAAATATGAAAAAGAATCCATTTAAATTAGAATTGTCTTAAATCAGCAAAAAGATTTGGTTGTATATAAGAACTTCCCATTTAAACAAACACCATGAAGCAACTAGTAAAGAACTATGTGAATGCAATAGAGTCATCAATAAACTGGTTTTAGTTTGATCCTGTTTGAAGGGAAAGGGTGAGTCTAAGCTGATTCCCTATAGGCGCAAACACACAACGGATGTTCTAACTTTCCATAGAGAAATCATGAAGCAAACACTCAGGCAGATTACACGTAAGGAGAACATGTAACTCGTTATCCAAATCAGAACATTCCAGAGTAAAAGGGGGGCATTGTTAATAATTACACAGAACAACAGGCACAAACCAAGACTGTTCTGGGTAACCAAGATAGATGCCACTTTGTTATAAAGAACTCCCACTCCCAAGCGAATGATGTCAGAATAAAATCATGAACACTAAGATTCAGAAACTTGGCCACTCTGTAGTTTCACTCTGTGGCACTGAGGAGATGCAGAGAGTGGAGGACTGTGGAAACCCCAGGAAGCTATTGTGCAATGAGCTGAAGGGACAGCTTAATGCAGGAGCTGCAAGAAAGGTTTCCAGGTTTCTCTGAAGTGAGGTATCAAACATGTGCCTGAACTGCTGTGGCTGAGAGGCTGCGGTACCAGACACACCAGTCTGGTCTGTCAAGTGCAGAGATGAGTGACTGTGAATAAAAGCTTCAGGCCAAAGTCGAGTGTACCAAATAGAGTTGCAAACAGCTCCCAGTTCTGCAAGCAAAGGCTGTAGACATAAATCAAAGAGCAATCATCCAATGTTGGCCTTGTGGGAAGGACTGGCCACTTGTCACGCTTCAGTGTTCTTAGCTACAGTTTCACACATGGAGAGTCATTACAGCTAGTGGTGTCATCTGAGAGTGATGATGGCAAGGGTAGAGTTTGTGGATGAGGTGAATGGAGAAGTTTATACACACCCACATCTAGAGACCCAGTTTACCCCCTTCATTCATATTTACTCCCAGGTTTGTAAGGAAACACTTGAAAATGTCCCTTTGAGGTGTTCCTTCTCGTGATTTTTATAAAATGCCTTCCTTCCAGTTCCTGTTTCTGTAATTATATTATACCCTTAGATTCCTGCTGGGGTAAAAAGGCCTAAAGAAGTTTTATTAAGTGGGTCCCTAGGGATAAAACATCAAAATTCACAATGTCATATTGTTAGGATAGCTTTAAATTCTGGAAATACATAACTTAGCACTCCTCCCCAGGGGAGGGATGGGGAAATCACCTACCCCTGGGAGACTCTGTAATATTGAAAGAGAGAAAGCTAAAAGCAGATCTGGAGTGGCCTTGCCATCAATGCTCTTATGAGTCACAGGTGTGTGAAGTCCTAGGCCATGGGACTGTCATCCAGCGACAGTTGTGGCCTTCTATGACTGCTGACAAGCAGTTCTGTAATCAGAGCATCATTGTCCTTTTGAAGGGTCTGCCACAGACCTCATAATGCTGGTCTTTCTAATAAAAGATGCCTTTTTGCTCTTTCTTTATGGAGATAGCTATAAAAAAATTGAAACAGAAGTTTTCACCTGAAAGCAAGCAGCATAAAGTAGATATTTGCTTACTTGTATTTTGACTGTTATCTTCTTCTAAAACATGTAATTGCCCTGAAGAAAATGGTGTCGAGTATTGGCATTAGTTTCATCGTTTTTTTTTTTTTTAGTTTCATGTTTTGAAAGAAACATGGAAAGAATGACCTAACACTTTTTTTTCATTGACTGCAAGTTCATTTGCATTATGTGTTATTCATTTATTGTAGAAAGTTCTATGTTATCAATTCACAAAATAATCCTGGAACTTGCATTACTCACTGAGGCTTCTAATATGGTGAATACATTTAAAAACAGTCTTGTGAGCATATTAGTATTTCTAAGTAAATAACAGTAGACATAGAAGCCAATACATTATTATTGCCATGGTAATTATTATTTCAGCCCTGGAAAAAGTATAAATCCCACAAACAGTTCACAATTGTTTTACAGCATAGCATTTTCTCTGTAAATACATAAGAAGGACTTAAAAAATTAAGTATTTTTTAGCTTCTGGCAAAAGTATATTTTATTATGGAGAAGTAGCAGTTTCTGTGGTCAGATTAACTTTAGGATGTTTTTCTTCCCATTCTGATAATAGGGTAGGTGTGTACTCTACTGTTCAATTTTCAAAACATGTCATTTGCAGAAATGAAAGTGTTTCTGAGGACTGTTCTGTCTCTTGTGCCAATAAAAAAAATGCAAGCATGTATTTTTACACTTTTAAGAATGGTAGTAGTGATGTCTTAAGCAAGTAGAGTCTTAGCCTTCAGTGGCATCAGAAATGCCTCTTTAAATGTGCTTATTGGCTGTACTGTGCCCTTTTGCTTATGTGTAGCAAAAGAGTCTCTAGGTTTTATTTTATTCTATATGTATGTTCCCCATGTGTACATATTTAATGATTGCTTGACAATTTGAAGTTCCAATTTTGAATTTAACGTCTCAAGTTTGCCTTCATTTAAACAGGTTGTTCATTTCTTAGATGACGTTTTTTTTTACTCAGAGAGTAGACCAATCTTTGTTGATCCCTGTGTGCCACACTAAGATGATACAATATTCTGGTTTTCTCAAAGGTCAGTGCCCAGTTAATGAAAGACATGATGACAGCATCCTAAGAGATCATTGCACAGCTGGGCTTCCCAGTGTACAGAACCCCAGGTTGCCTCTTTGGTACAACTGTAAATACCAGTCAACTGTTTAATGACATAATGTGAACTTTTATAGACTCCTCAGATTCTACAGCCAGACTGCTCTCTGAACACTTGAGAAGAATCTTCACTCACTCTTTAGAAGTATTCAACACCCAGGTTAATTTCTCACTATTGATTTTCTCCTCTATGCATCTTGAATGCTTCAAGATCTCTTGACCTATACAAAATATCTCTGTGACAGTTGGTTTAAAAAGAAGCTCTTCAAAAGAATGCTTGAAAATTCAGCGAAGATAATGAAATAACTCTTCCTCAACTGTTAGCAGAGAAGTTTAAGTGGACATTTTGATTAGGTTTTGAGGAGAGAACAAAATCATTGAATATTTATAAGAAGGTGGTTTTGGAAGATGAAGGCTATTTTTGTGGACATCCCCAGGGAAGCATAGGATTCTAATCTAGTTACCAAAAATTTCCAGTTAAATTGGAGATATAATCAGAATCACCTTGAGCCCCAGAGTGAGAGAGCACAGCACAGGAGACAAATGCACAGGAATAAAGGTCAGAAGACCTGTCAGCCCTTCCAGGAGTTGGGCCTCTCTGGGCTTTTGTTATTAATCTAAAAATAACAAAGGGATTGGATTTCAGGAGTCTTCCTAGTTCTAAAATTCAATGGTCCATATCTAAGACAATATATATATATATATATATGTGTGTGTGTGTGTGTGTGTGTGTGTGTGTGTGTGAACAGAAAAAGACAAGTTAAAAGAAAAATAACAAAAGCAATGTAAAAACATTCTTGTACCTGACAAAACTTGAAAATTGAGTCATAAATGTGATTCTAACCTCTATAGACCCATTTTGATATCTGTATGTTCTACTCCAAACCCATGATTATTTAAAAGTAAAACATTCTTTTAAGAATTAAATATTCCACTTTAGTTTTTGAATTAATACTTGCTTGACCTCTGAAATATTGTCCCATTAACAGAAAATGGTGTCAGAAGCACTTTATTAATGGTAACTCCTTTTATGGGCTTCCAAATAAAACAGCAACATCATTAATATCAACAATATAAAGCAAACAAACAAACAAATAAAAAATCCCCACCAAAATAACGAAATAAAACCACTCTAAGTTCCCAGCACTGATTAAATAGGATTGAAGTAAACCAAGCCATTTTTACATGTCACGTGGAGTGTAGATTTATTTGGGTTAAAGAATCTCCTAAACAAATTACATCAACCTCACTCCATTTTCCTTCCTTAATAAAAAGTATGACCGGACAAACATCAGACTTTAAAAATTCTAAAAATAATAGAAAAGTAAAAATAGATTTCCTAGAGAAATCTCCTTAATCTTTTTTTATGGTTTGCTGCTTCTGTGAAATCTTTCTTTGGAGTAACTTGGTAGCATAGTTTTATTTGTTGTTGTTGTTGTTCTTAACTGGATTCATAACAAGGGCACTGAGTAGAACTTCAGCTGATTTATGGAGCATGAACTTTTATGAACAATAAGTAACTTCTGCTCTACAAGGAAAATGGCAAGTGTAAATGAAAACATGGGAACACTGGAAGTCCATTTCATTATGTGATTTTTAAGTCCTATTAAATATTGCACCCATGTTTAAAAATAAAACAAAAGGAAACAGAATGGTATGAGCACTCTAAAATCATCTGCAGCACTTTTAAGGGTTAAACCTGCTTAACCCATTCTTAGTTAGAGAATGGCACCAAAGAGTACCGCTCATCCCTTAAGCGTGGCTAGTTCTAAACCTGTGGTAGCCTCAGGTTGTCAGAGCAGTCATGCACTCCATTTCCACCCCCCTCCCACCCGATTAATAGGATCCATTCATAGCTACTCACTACTGCAGGATTTGACCTGAGAAATGCTAGGATTTATTAACTCAGCAGTTGTTTCGAAAAGTCCCTAAATATCTTCACCCTTGGCCAGCAAGGGAACTGCTTGCTAGTCTCAAGTTCTCAGAAGCAGCTGGTGAGGTTCTCAGCCAAGTTCTTCAGATGCAGGAAGTTCCTCAGGACAACCTACTTTGACATGGCATTTACAAATCTTTAAACCAGGCTTCCTGGATCTAGGAAATGTTATTCCTGACTCCTTTGACCCAGATGCTGGCTAAAATTTAGTTCACAATCTGCAGGTAATCATTCTTTCTTTCTTCCTAGGAGCTGGCATGGTGGCTAAATTTTTCTAAAACAGTCATATTAACGTGTTCAAAAATCCACTGCTGAGTCTCAGACAGAGGGTCACATCTGGCCATGAAAATCTTCTTCTCCGCAGGGTTGCAATCCATGCAGCTGTTGCTCACAGAATGGAATAATGTTCTGTCCTGGAGGGATCAGAAAGAAAAGACTGACATAAAGCATACTGAATACTTAGAGCTCCAAATATACAACTGTAAGTATTTGTTAAATTTTATAAACAGACTAGCTTCCGAATCAAATGGTTTGTCAACATGGAACACCATTGTCTAGGATCTGCTGGAACTAGAGCTTCTGAGCAGGTTCAGACACACACACACACACACACACACACACACACACACACACACCCCATTCATTCATTCATTTTTTTTTAAAGCAATCCATTTATTTCTTGCTTTTCAGTGAGCATTTTACTACATATTTGGATTTTGAAGGTAAGTACACGGATTGCTTTTCAAGTAGCTAATAGTTTAGCCATTGTGGGGAGAAACATGAAACAAGCACATGTCAAAAACAAAAACCAAAAAAACCCTATCATTTAGTTCACACTCAACATAACACACCCACACATAGTCAAAAGAGCCAAAGTTTCCCTGCCCTCTTTGAGCCTCTAATGGGAAAGAGAAATATAAAAGAAAGAGGAACCAAATGCCACCAGCTCAGCAGCCTTCAGAAGAGGAATATGGGGATGGGGACAAGTGACAATCATGACAATAACTGAAAGTACAAAGTTGGATTTGTTAGCTCTCCAGCTTCAGACTCTTCTCAGCTCCTTTAGTGACATAACGTCAGTTCCTGTGGCTTTTAGTAAAATGGAGGAGGTAACATTCACTTGAAAAAGAAGCACAAGACACACATACAACAGAGTTAACAGCTCAGTGACTGAAAGGCACTCATTCCCAGGGCACAAAATTTAAGTGCTGAGAAAGCTCAGTATCTAAACAAGTTCTACTGACACACACCCTGTTTTATTTGTGTACACAGGCAAAGAAGGGAATGCTTAAACAAAAAGATCTTTCCTTAACTAGCATCAGACTTTTATCTCTTGTGGTGTTTATGATTTAAAGAATAACTTGAAGAAATGTCTTCAAACCATTGTTTAAATTTTAGGATCAAGTTATGTTTTATTATTTAGCTTAGGAAGTGAGTAGAGGTTCTGGTTATTTTTTTCTTTAATCAAGGAGTACTTACAATGCTTTTAGATTTAGAACTTTCTCAGCCACCCTTTGTAAACACTTCTGAGTTGTTCCTGGTTGTTAAGCCTCTATCAAACCAATATTTAATGTCCTTTTGAGATCAGGATGTTTGCATAGGTCAGTACTAATGAAGGAAAGGAGGAATAAGGAAGGAGAAAGGCAACCTGCCTGCACTTCAATTTGCATGCTTCTATTTTTAGTGTAAACAAAGACCTATGCCTAATACAAAGGATCACTATTCTACTCTCTTGAAAGGTGTAGGTCAATTTCACTTCCTTTACACAGAGGTCTCCTGAGGTTTCCTTACATCTTTTTCGCCTCTTTCTTATTAACTCCACGGGAATCTGACCTTAGGGGAAGGTTCTCCTCCTCTGGTCTAGAAGAGGACATTCTAGGAGGAAAGAGATGGCACTCAGCAGCTTGCTCTACACATTTATTCTTCCTTGGGGTCCTAGATGTTTGGTACTGCAGCTCTCCAGCAATCTCCTTCCTTGTGTTCCCCTCTTCCTTCCAGCATCTCTTACATTGAGATCCCACCCCAAACATTCATCAGTTTAGCTGCATAGACTTAATATAATTTTTCAGAAAGCATTATTATTAATAATATTATTATTATTGCAGTACTGGGGATTGAAGCCAGGGATTTGCACATACTAGGTAAGCATTTCTACCACAGAGTTATATCCTCCACTCCCTCAAAGAGCCTTCTTGGGTTGTTCTATTCATGAAAATTCTGTGACCTGCTAAATTCTGATGCACAGGTTCCTTGTTCATGTACCACTTTTCCCTCTTCACTATCTGCAGTTCTTCTTATTGTTACAATATTGGCTTAAGTGGGACTTTCATGTACTTAGTCTCTTCTTCAAAACACATATTTTCACAAAAGCTTAAAAAAGAAAAGGAGCAGAACATGTTTCTATTCTCCTCCTTCACCAGCTTGTGTACCTTAGCACCGATGCAAAAGTGAAAGCAGATTTCTTGAACATTTCAGTTTTTGGAACATCATTTCCTGAGCCATAAGGTGATCGTATTTTTCCAAATCCCACATGGGAACACATGTTCCTACGGATACAGGTATATTCATGAGTACGGCTAGGCAGGTTATGCAGATTCAGCACTATCCTGAACAATCCAGAATGTTTTCTGTGCTTGTACTTCATTGTTCTAAAAAAGAGTTGAAAAATTGAATTCCCTATATCTATCTGTGTCTCAGAAGTTTCATCAGTACATTGAGGAGGTGGATTAGATGAATCTCTTAGGCCTCTCCTAGCCGTAAAATTGGATGAACATTTTATTCCAAAGTTCACTGGTCACAGAGACCAATGACAGGATGTCAAACGAGAGACCATCTGCAGTATCCAGTAGATCAACAGATTGATTGTTCTCTTTATAGACTGAGTTGTGTTCACCCTTATCCTTGGAGTGTCAAGCAGGCTCCAGAGATGAAGATTCTGGAAACATCCCCAGCCTTCACGTGAGCAAACATTTTTCACTTTTGACCTTGGAGGCTAGGTGATTGCCATCTTTACATTCCGACTCAGCCAAGGCTCTGGATTACTAAATGTCTTTCCAGATGATTTTGCTGATTGAAATTAATTCAGGGGTTCAAGTAATCATTCTTTAAATGTGGTCTGTTGTTCCACGACAGCCCTTCACTCCTTTGCCCTTCAACTTGTTGGTCATGGAGCAATGCCCATTAATAGAATGGGGTATGGGTTTTCTGTGGGATAGACTTCTGACTATCTTAGCAAGTGTGCAGTTCCATAACTGTCCTCCACAAATGGTGACAGAATTTGTCCTTTCTTTGCTTGTAACCAGATTGTTCTTTGTTTAGTCCCTAGGCATGGCATAGCATAAGCTCTGGCTGTTCACAAGTTATACGTTCCACTTTTGCTTTACCCCTTCTGCTTCCATGGATGCCCACTACCTTGATGTTTTATTTTTTGAGTTTTTTTTTTAAATGTTATGTTTTATCTAAGAAAATTAGACGTTATTGATCAGGAAATGCATAAATTCAGATCCAGGATTACTGAATTGCCCTTCATAATCAATGCCCAGTGCCAGCCAATCAGCCCACACTGGGACTTTTTGGGTAGGTCATTAAAAGAGACACTATTGCAAAGTCAACCTATAGTTGGCTTCTGTGTGACACCTGTGGCATTCACACAGCTGCGCTAAATTGTAATAGGTTCTATACTAACGTAGGGTCTGAACTTTAAAAGAATGAGTGAGCTGCAGAAAATCATGCCAGATTTGGCTTAGGGTCAGAAGACCCCAAACATGCAAAAGATAATAAAGTAGAGGTATGAATGCATAATGCACTGGAAGATGAATCTAGAAAGGAAACAATCACAGGGAAGGAGGACAGACAACACAGTCCTGGGTGAAAAACTTGGGATTTGTGGCCATCAGGGATTTGGTTTGTAGCTCAGCAGCAGAGTGCTGTTCTAGCATGTGCAAGGCCGTGTGTTTGATCCCAACATGTCAAAATAAAATGTCATAAGGAATTTGCATCCAATCCCAGACATGCCACTTGCTTGCTGGGTGACTTTGGAAATGTTAATTCAGTGAACCTCAGTTTATTTACTTGTAAAATGTAGATTATGCCTTACAAGTTTGCTGTAAGGATAAAATGTGCAATTTCTGTCACAATATCCTTCATACAAGTAAGTAACCAAGTAATGATGATTCTATTCTCTCTTTCCCCTAATTTATTTTTAGTCAGAAATCATCCCCACTTTTAAAAAATCTGAATGCACTAACCATCTGGTCTGAGACCAGCTATTTCAATACCAAATTGTATTTTCTGAAATCCTGGTAAAGTAGTTTGAAAATTTCATTCTCTAACAAATCCTTATCCAAACTGAACAATAGTACTTCCCAATTTCAGCAAAAGGGTTAATGGAACAAAGGTATCTATGGCTCTGAAATTAGCTCTTCTGTTTAACTATGGTGGCTTTATACCTGGTCTATGTGTTTAGGTGAATGTATGACTATCTTTTAAACTCTCTGGAAGAAAGACCTATTAGGGTTTTTTTTTTTTTTTCCCCTGCTGATTTTTTATTGGAATACATTAGTCAGGCCAGTTAAGTTTAACAAACACTTATAAAGTATCTTTTAGTTTTTGGTCTTAAAAGGAAAGAGGCACATAAAGGTAACATCCGACTCAACAAACAGAGGAGATTAATAGGTAAACAAGAAATGTTTGAAGTTAGAAAGTGTCAGTGTAGATGAGGGTGAATAGGATACATCATGTTATTTCAGACATAGGGCATAAGGATGTAAAATGACACATACACTTACAATTCAATATTCCACAAAAAACATATGGGTACCTCCTATTTGTCAGGCACTGTTTTAGGTCTTGGGTACATCAATGAACTTAATGAGATAAAGATCCCTCCCCTGCTGACTCAGATGCCAAAGGTAAGGGTGAGAATGGAGGATTGGGGCATAGAAAATAAGCAAATGAAGTTAACAGGTACAATATACACAGCCTGTTCAAAGGTGATATGAACAGGAAATGAGGAGGTCAGGAGGATCTGGAGTGATAGGGATGGCACCAGTAATTAATGAAAATTTAATCAGAGCAGCCAGGGCAAACCTCATTGAGGAGGTGACATTTGAGCAGTCTTGAAAGAAAGAAATGGAATTCGCCGCACAAATACTTGGGTGAAAAGGGTCCCAGACAGAGCAAAGGCCTTAATCGAGTATGCAGCCTGCTGGGTCACAGGAACAGCCAGGAAGTCGGGGTGATGGCAATGATGTGAGAGGGGGTGAAGCACTAGATCAAGAGGTAAGGACCAGCAAGTCATTTGGTGCAGCTGGAACACACGGAGCATGGTGGAACATTCTGGATGATGATATCCAAGAGGTAGACAAGGGCCACATCATGAAGAGACTAGGGTACAGTGCTTAAGCTTCATTTT